GAGGGTTCAGGCCCAGTGGACCCTGAGCACTTGGCAGTCTGTCCTGCATTAGACTTCATGACCTCACCCTGAGCTGCCCTCCAACTGCCAGCTTTTCTATAGGAGACACCCCTTCCCTTTCAGGGTTCAGGCTGGTTGGGGAGAGGTGACTGATAGAAGCAACCTTGGATGAGGACAAAGGGTCAACTCCTATGGAGATCCTGACTTGGCTGCACTGACTGCCCCTCCCGATTTACACAGTGACTTTCCTGCCTCAGCAGCCTCATGGGGGCTCTTGCTTCTCTGGCAGCCTGGAGGGAGGGTTGGGGCATGGCTCTATCTTCAGATGAGGAGCCGAGGTCCCGAGTGTGGGCAATTCTCCACAGTGGGGCTGGGGCTGAGTCCCTGTCTGGGGTCTGCAGATAACACAGGTCAGGGGTTCAGAAGGTGACTGGGGCATTGCCGCTAGGGAGACAGTAGTTCAGTCCCTGGCTCAGCCATAGGCAATCAGGGTAGTTTACTTCACTCTTGTCCTCAGTTTCCTTACCTGTGAGATGGGAGTATCTAGACATGACCTGCACTGGTGAGATGTTAGTAGAGCCCTCTGGTGGCCCAGAACCTTTAGAGAGCTTTTGTACATTGCCTGCTGGCAGCTACTCAGGGTGGGGCTGTCTGGCTGTGGGAACTCCCTGATGTGTAGTGGATAGCCATGGGGGACACAACTCTACTTCCGGTAGCTTCTTGCTAGTATGGGTACATAGGGCCTCTGAACTATTCTGCCTCCTTCATTACTCTCCTGCCTAGGTGACTGGCTCCTGGGGACACTGCTGCCAAGGTGAACAGGGAAGATGGGTGCTTGGCCCATCACCAGGGGTGTAGGGGCATGTGGGCTGCTTCCTGGGCCCTGAAGGCTGGCCTAGCCCTGACCCTGGCCTGCAGTCCTGGGCCCTGAAGGCTGGACTAGCTTTAACCCTGGCCTGCAGTCTTGAGTCAGCACTGTAGTCCATTTTACTTCAGAGGACTTTGTCCTTTGAAAATCTGAGATTTGCCCCAGCCCACCTTCTGGGGTCCCAGCCTGCCTGAGGGTGTCCCAGCATGGTCTTCTCCCTCTCTATGGTACTTTGCAGAGCTTTGGGGCTGAGGGCAGGGGCCCAAGTCTCCTGTGTCACCAGAGTGGCCTCTGTGAAGTCAGCAGGCCTCTCCCTATTCTGGCTCTGGTTCTACATGGACTTTTCATCTGTCACTGGCAAATTAATTCAAAGAAGCATGTATTAAAGGTCAATTGTATGCAAGGCTCTATGCAACCAGTGACAGGGCAGTCCCAGACCCTCTCCCAGCAAGGCCTCAGCCTATATTCTGAGAGTAGCTGGGCATTTGAACCTGGAGCTGTTTGCCGTTTTGCCATTCCTCTCAAACAGGCCCCACTCCCCCAAGCCTAGCTCCATGCTTGTTCTTAAGCTGGATCCAGCCGCCCCAGACCCAGCACCCCTGGGAATGAATGGAAGGCTTTGGCTGATGAGGGCTGGCAGCTTCTTCCCAGTTCCTGTTCTGTTTGCATTTCCCCCAGAGACAGGACCACTTAGAAACCTATAAATGCCTGGCAGGGCCCATGGCCCAAGCGAGTTTATAAATCAGAACTTATAAAAGCCTAATGGTCCCCTCTGGACAGAAGAGAGAGGTGCATGCCAGAAGTCCTCAGGCGGGTCCAGGGACTCAAATCCTGAGCTGTCATGTAGACTGACAGGGCAGGGCAAGGGAGGAGGGCTGCTGTGTGCTTACACTGAATGCTAACTCTGTCCAAGTGCCCTCAGGCAGGGACTGCCTTCAGCCTCAGTCCTGTTCTCTGCAAAGTGGGTCACAATGCTTAGCATGCCAAATGGACTAAGAGTTGCACGTGCTGTGGGGAGTTGGTAGGTAAGGTGAGGTGTGGGGCAGGCTCTCCATTGGCTAACCAGGCTAATCTCAGATCCGCCATGTACCTTTAAACACCCCACACCCCTCTAAGCCTGTGGCCCCACTTGGGAGAGCTCGTAGATATTCTCTATGGTCCTACTGTGTGTGAGAATCTGCAGGGGCCAGTCGTTGTCACTGGTGGGATGTCAGGCAGGTTCAGAACAACTGCTCTGCACTAGGTATTGTGGAGCCTGTGCTCCAGAGGGGGGAGGGCAGATCAGGCTTGGGGTTTGTCTTCTAGCAGAACTTTACCAGGCCAGACCCTGCCCTGCCCTGCCCTGCCCTGTCCGGCAGAGGGAGCGCCTGAGGTGTAAACCTGCCTGTCACTCCCAAGAAGCCCTTGCTTCATTTCCTACTTACCAGAGAGATGTCTGGATCACGGGAAGTGGAGAAAGGCCAGTGTGTGTGTGTGTGTGTGTGTGTGTGTGTGTGTGTGTGGTGTCTCAGGAACTCTCCTCTGCTTGGATGTCCTGTGGTACAGAGGGAGGGGTTGGGCCCTTCTACCTGATGGCCTGGGTCCTGAGGTAACTCATGGGCCCTAAAGGCCATCAGGAACATGGGAATCCCTGGAGGACAGATGCCAGCTTGGGGGATCCCTGGGCCTGGCTACAGGACCAGAAGAGGTCAAAGTGCATAATATCCCAGCTGAGGGGTTGCTGGATGAAGCCCTATCCCCAAAGGCCTCTCCCCCAACTGTCCTTCTGGACATATGCCTTCATCACATAAGGAGCATTTCACATGCTGGCTGTGGCAGGGGGAAGTAAAAATAGAGGAAAGGAGTGAGACAACAGACGGACCGGAAGGGGTGGATTTGAGGCAGTTAGAAAGGGAGCAGAGAAACATAAGACACAGAGCCATAACAGCAGGAGACGAGGGGTCCTGGAGGGAGGAGGGGCAGGATGGAGGAGGGAGAGGAGAGGAGGAGGGTACAGGGCTCCTAGGGAATCTGGTGTGTCGTAGCAAGGTGGCAGACAACTCCAGCTAGTTATCTGGAAGGTTGGGCCTGGACATTGTCTTGAATCCTTGAACAGACTCACATCTATTTTTAGAGACCCTATAGGGCCTCTAAGCTGTGACCTGTCTATGCCCCTCCCCCTCCCATGACTCTCCAGGCCCAATAAGAAACACCAGCCTACTGCACCTAACTCCAGCTTATCCTGTGTGACAGGGACAGACCTGTCTCTATACCATTTAGGGATGTGATGTCCCTGGGAGTGGTGGCAGGCATGCTCACAGGCTCTCTGGTCTGAGAGACAGAGCTGAGGAATGGCCAGGAAGCCTGGCTTGACTGGGGAAGGGAGATCTGGAGGCCCTCCTGTGCTGTGCTCACTGCTGAGCCCCTAAGGATGCTGGGAATGAGTAAGGATGGAGAGGACGAATCCCAGCAACTTGCAGTCCCAAGCCTGTTCCCGGCTGAGCTCTGCCGGCACCTCCACTCTTGCCTGCCTTCTCGGGTCCATTTCTGACGGCCTTTGTCTCCTCTTCTCTCCCTCTCGACTCTGAACCTAAATGGAATCCAACTGCCAGCGCCCTGTGTGTTCCCTGTGTGCTCAAGGCTCGGCCCTTTTCATTATTAATAGAAATATGTCCTCATTGTACAGCTTAATTCTGCTTATCTGGAGTGGATTAAGAGCCTACAATGACATGCAGCATTGACTCCTGAGCATCCCTGCTAAAGGAAATTTGCCACAGCCTAATTAGTTCCATAAAAAGGAGGGGAGGGGTGGAGGGGGTAGGGCACCCTGGGTGGGAGTCAGGGGCCCTTTGTGCTGTGACTTAGGTTGGCCTTTCCTCACTGGGAGCCTGGACTGGGCCCACACCAGGAGGCCAGGGCTGAGGCTGATGAGGGAAGCAGGGAACCCTGAGTCTGAGGGCTAAAGACACAGGGTGGCTGCATCACACAGGCAGGTTACTTTACCACCCCTCAGTTTCTCAGTCTACACAATGGGACAAGTGGCTCTCTTAGACAAAGATGACAGGATGAAAAGGCCGTTGCAGTCAAGAGGGTAGCCATCAGGTCCATGCCATGCTTGAAAGACAACTAAGAGCTGCCACCAAGCCTAGAGTGTGGGCTAGATGGAGACTGCTTAATACTGCAAGACTACTGTGGGGCACAGGTGTGACCCTGCAAACCATGCTGGTGCCTCATTGGCTTACCCATAGTGCCCTGGGCCCCCCAGAACAGCAAGAACATAGGACAGTGACCTTTTCGAGGCTTTTGGAATAACTCACATAATTAGGGTGATTGAGGTGTCGCTAGATGACACAGGGACCAAGCATGCAGCCCAGCTTGGCTGGATGACCTAGGAGCCTCATTTTCCCTTCTGAAGAAGGGGGTCATCTGGACCCTTCCCCTCTCACTCTGTGTAAGTCAGCCAAGTAGACTGGGCTGGGCTGGGGCTGTAACCTGGTGGCTGCTGCTCAGTGGGGGAGAAGACCCTCCCAAGGGCATTTCTGGAGGAGGGGACAGCAGTGTCCTTGGCCTCTCACCAACAGATGAGGAAGGTCTTTCCTTCATCTTTTCCTCAGGTGACACTGACATGAAGCCCCCTTCTAGGCCCACCTCTACAGGATAGATGTGGGCCTGTTCTCTAGGCTGGACACTGTGTGAGTGTGGGTTCCCCTGAGCACAGTGCTCTCTGCACCCCAGCTCATCTGCACCCCAGCTTGTCTGTGGGGGACCTACTTTTGCCTCTTGCTTTCTGAGGCTGTTGGGTCTCTGTCCCTAAAGGCACCCTCAGTCTCATGGTATCCTTGACTTGCAGAGTCAAAGCTGGCTTATCTACTGGCTGAAGGCTCAGAATAGGCAGGCTCTATGATCAGGGTTTGTGTGGTGGTGGTGGTGGGGCTGTCTCTGAGTGCCTCTTAGCCCCTGTCTGCTTCCCTGTCCTGGGGCTAACTGCACCTGGCAGTGCTGCCTTGGGACTGGACTGGGGTCTCTAAGGACCACTATGGAGGATGGGGGAAGAACGTTCACACGGCTGTATCCCAGGGCCTCCTGGGCATTGGGCTCTCCATGCACTCCCCTCAGATCTTCCGACTCTTGAAAGCAGAACCAAGCCTTCATATCTAGTTTCCAGTTTTTAATGTTTTTCTTGTAAAACCAAAAATATAAAACTCATAGGGAGGTGGAAAAGAGGTCCTGTACATTGTATATACACGAGGTCTGTGATTTGAGAACCTTAGGGAGAGAGAAAGATACAGTTAAGGGACTATCACAGGGCCACAGTGTCTGGCAGGCAGCTCTGAGGCCAGACAGCAGGGGACGTGCCTGTGATGTGGCCTGGCTGCCCCTTGTGGGAAGCTCCAGGGCTGATGGCCAGCAGGTGAAGTAGTGTCAGGAGCTGGGCAGGCAGGTACAGCAGCACTCCTTCAGGTGTCTGTGTAGATGGAGGGGATGTGACTTAGGCAGTGGTCAAAGGCCCCATTGGGGAAGAAGCCACAGTCCTCGGGACCGCTGGATACCAGGTCTTCAGATGGCTGTGGCTGCAGTGCTGTAGGACATGCGGTTTCTACCAGGGCCTCGTAGCCTGTGGGCAGAGAGCAGAGGGTTAGAGTGGGAGGGTGGCGGAGGCTGAACTATGGGACCCATCGGGGTCTCTCTTCGAATGTTCCTTTCATGGATGGGGGGACCTGGGTGGAGAGGAGTCATGGAGTCCTCCAAAGAGCCCAGGGCAGCTGGAAAGACAGGCTTGGCACAGGCTCTCTCCAGTGCTTGACTATGGAGGGAGGGAGGGAGTAGGGTAGGAGCATCGTAGCGCTTACCTTGAGAGGTCGGCCCCTCTTGGCAGAAGGAACTCAGCTCCTTATTCTTCCAGGTCCCCCCACCCCACCCCACCCCACACTCAAGATGCTACAAGAGGGGAGACAGCGTCACTGAAACGTAGTGATCATTAAGCCCAACTGACTTCACAGCAGTTCTGTGACGTGGGACTTACTATCTTTAGGGTGGAAAGGATGGGCTCAGAGGGGGCGGGTGTCTGTCTAAGGTCACACTGCTAGTAAGTGTGTGTGTGGGGCTGGCTCTTAAATGCAAGTCCATCTGGCTCTAGGGACACCTGGCTTTTCTGGTGGGCATGTTGTTTCCAGGGTGAGATCACTGCTCGAGGTCCTTGACTCGAGGCAGAGACCCACAGGATCATCCTATCCCATGTCCCGCCCCTGAGCTGCCGTCATGACTTATGCGGCTTTGACAAGTGGGTCTCCCACATCTGTGCAATGGAGGTGGGGTGAACCAAAGCCTTCTGGCCCACATGTTGGTCATCCTGGGACTACTGTCCCCCTTGATGGGGAGGTAGATGGCAGCGATGCAGTTGAAAACAGTTGGAATAGGTGCTGGGGACAGACGCAGGGAAGCCTCCTGTCCTGGTGTCAGACTGCTAAATCAATAAATCAAACCCCCCCTCCCAAGTGGGGCCAGGAGCACAGGATGGTGAAAGCCAGCAGTATGGGCACAGAGTGGGCACCGATCCCACAGGTGGCCTGTGCACAGGCCTGTCTTGTATTTCATGTATTCCTATGTGGCCCGTTATCTACCTACAGATGAATGTTTACTGTACTCACAGGACTCTGTACACACAAGCACAGCAACCTGAAGCAGCTCCACATGCTCACACACACACACACACACAGGTGTGCGCCCATCTGTGGAGTTAGCTGTGAGTCTCAGGGCGGGTAACGACGTGAGAGAGGTGTGTATGTGAACATCAGTACAGCAGAGTGAATACATGCATGTGCCACAGGTGTCCCTCAGAGTGCCCAGAACCACCTGGGCCAGCCCTACATGCACACAGATGCGCTCACAACATGGCAAGAGCGAACACAGACATAGCTCGGGTGTGGGGACACAAACACACAGCCAAACCCCAATGATGCTGAGCCACAGTTCTGTGTTTACCAGCCTGGCCCCGTGTCTAACGTCCATGTCCCTCAGCCCCCACCCCCACCCCCACCCCTCGCGCGCCCC